TTCTGATCTCAATTAAAATTTACAAATATTAAAATCAATCTCGAACTCCTATCCTCTTTTCTGATTTCCAAGGTGAAGCAAGGTAAATTTTTCCTTGTGTTACTAGGTTGTTGATAAAATAAGCCCCTGCCTGTTGTATCTTACAAATATATCCAAATAATATGTATTATTTTAAACTTGACTCACAGAGGTCAGCCTTCACATTCCTGACCATTGCTTGTTGTTGTTGTTGTTGTTGTTTTTTGACAGGCAGAGTAGACAAAGAGAGAGACAGAGAGAAAGGTCTTCCTTTTGCTGTTAGTTCACCCTCCAATGGCCGCCACAGCTGGCGCGCTGTGGCCAGCGCACTGCGCTGATCTGAAGCCAGGAGCCAGGTACTTATCCTGGTCTCCCATGGGGTGCAGGGCCCAAGGACTTGGGCCATCCTCCACTGCACTCCCTGGCCACAGCAAAGAGCTGGCCTGGAAGAGGGGCAACCGGGACAGAATCTGGTGCCACGACTGGGACTAGAACCCAGTGTGCCAGTGCCACAAGGCAGAGGATTAGCCTAGTGAGCCGCGGCGCCGGCCTATTGCTTGGTTTTATGGACAAGATCCTCAGTTTAATATGGAGACAGAGGTGATATGTTATCTCTACAAGGGCTAATTAAAAAATTATTTAAAAGGTAGAGAGAAACAGAGACACAGAGAAAGAGATCTTTCATCCGCGAGATCACGCCCCAAATGTCCACAACAGCTGGGGCAGGGCCAGGCCAAAGTCAGGAGCTGGGAACTCAGTCCAGGTCTCTCACACAGTTTGCAGGAACCCAAGTATCTGAGCCATTGCCTGCTGCCTCCTTGGGTCTCCATTCAGAGGAAGCTGGACTGGGAGTGGAGCCAGAGCCCGAACCCAGGTACTTTAACATGGGGTATGAGCAATGCCAGCCCCATCTTAACCACTGTGTCGAAAGATCTCCTCACAGGGCTATTTTCTAGTGGTACCTAAATCACAGGGGTTATTCTTCAGGTGCTTCTGTGAAGACTGGAAATTAGGTAATTTGGAGTGATGGGGAGAGTTGAAGTCATCTGCTTACTAACTGATCGGTGTCTACCTATTGCTGTGCAGCTCTCTTCTTGGGCATCTGTGTACTTTCTGCTTAGGGCTAGACATTAAGGAGTGTGTGTGTGTGTGTGTGTGTGTGTGTAATGAGCCTAGAGTGTGTTAGCCATCTTGCATTATTACTACATACCACTAAATATACATACCACTAAATATATCTCTTTGGGAGCTATTGGGTTGAATTCTGCTTTTCATTTAGGAACTGCAAAAGTTGAGGGTTAATTTTTTTTATTTTTTTTTTTTATTTTTTTATTTTTTTTTTTTATTTTTTTTTTTTTTTGACAGGCAGAGTGGACAGTGAGAGAGAGACAGAGAGAGAAAGGTCTTCCTTTGCCGCTGGTTCACCCTCCAATGGCCGCCGCTGCAGCCGGCGCACCGCGCTGATCCTGGCAGGAGCCAGGAGCCAGGTGCTTTTTTTCCTGGTCTCCCATGGGGTGCAGGGCCCAAGCACCTGGGCCATCCTCCACTGCACTCCCTGGCCATAGCAGAGAGCTGGCCTGGAAGAGGGGCAACCGGGACAGAATCCGGCGCCCCAACCGGGACTAGAACCCGGTGTGCCGGCGCCGCAAGGTGGAGGATTAGCCTATTGAGCCACGGCGCCGGCTAATTTTTTTTATTTTTTTGACAGGCAGAGTTAGAGAGAGAGAGAGAGGGAGAGAGAGAGAGAGGAAGAGAGAGAGAGAGAAAGGTCTTCCTTCCATTGGTTCACCCCCCAAATGGCCCCTTCTGCTGGTGTGCTGCGCTGATCTGAAGCCAGGAGCCAGGTGCTTCCCCCTGGTCTCCCATGTGGGTGCAGGGACCCAAGCACTTGGGCCATCCTCCACTGCACTCCCGGGCCACAGCGGAGAGCTGGACTGGAAGAGGAGCAACCGAGACAGAATCCAGCACCCCAACCGGGACTAGAACCCTGGGGTGCCGGTGCCGCAGGCGGAGGATTAGCCAAGTGAGCCGAAGTGCCGGTCAAAGTTGAGGGTTAAGTTTGTAACAACTTGGTTTGGTAGCCTTTCTCCAAGGTGAACAGAAGGAACAAGACACAGAAAATATAATTATGTAATTCTAAGCCGTGGAATTCCAATTCCTTTTTCACTCATTGAAACAGTATGAGAAGATGTTGATGTGTAGGGTCAAAGACATAGACTCAATCTATAATCCTCATGCAGAGTATTCCCATATTGGCAACACTTGGTGCCCTTTATATTAGATGCTGGGAGTGGGGCAAAGGAGAAAGAGAATGAAGATGTAGCCTTTCTATCACTTCAGAAACTAATTCTAGGTGGAAATAACAAGGACAAATCAGCCTTTCAATAATTTTAGCCAAAAAGGAAAGGAGAGAGAGAATGGTAGCAGTAAAGGGACACAAAATTAAAACAAAACCAAAAACCAAAAAACAAAACTAGCAAGCACCCTGGCAGGAAGCAAGTGATGACTCAAGTAGTTGGGTCTTTGCTAACCACGTGAGAAACCTGGATTGAATTCCTGGCTTCTGGCATCTGCCTGACCCAGCCCAACTGTTATGGGCATTTGAGGAGTGAACCAGCAGACAGGAAATCTCTGGCTGTCTCTCTGCCTTTTGAAAAAAAATAAATCATTAAAAATTGAAAAGCCCAACAACTAGCAAGCAAGTGCTCAATTCTAATGGAATATTATCAAATAAATTTAGAATTTTAAAGAAGATTTTATTTATTTACTTGAGAGGTAGAGTTACAGACACAGAGAGGGAGAGACAGAGAGAAAGGTCTTCCATCAGCTGGTTCACTCCTCAAATGGCCACAACAGCCAAAGCTGAGCCGATCTGAAGCCCAGAACCAGGAGCGTCATCCAGGTCTCCCACGTGGGTGGCAGGGGCCCAAGGACTTGGGCCATCTTCCACTGCTTTCCCAGGCCATAGCAGAGAGCTGGATTGGAAGTGGAGCAGCTGGGACTTGAACTGGTGCCCATATGGGAGGCGGAGGCATAGCCCACTATGCTGCAGCACCGGCCCCTAGAATATTTCGTTTCTGTATGAAGTATCTAAATGTTTCCTTTGGTTTTCATTTTTGAAAGTGATATCCCAGTGCCTACTCTGTACCCCACTGTCTCAGCCCACGCGAGTTAGTGAAGCCCCTGCTGTAGTAGTAGCAGCACATACCATGTCTGGCAATCAGAAGGTTTCACCTCTCCTAGACGTGGAAAGTGGGTCTAATCCAAGCCAGGCCAAGGAAATCAGCTCTAGGAGTTGTGCTGGAACTACTGGGGCTGCGGCATTCCTTTTCTAATGCGGTTGCTCAGGTGACAGGAGGTAAGCTTGGGCTGTGGGTCACCCTGTTTACTGTCCTCTGGGGTGAGAACCTGCATAAGCGTGAAATTAATGCAGAGGAAAGCACAACCAACAGATGGAGGCAGAGGAAGTGCTGATGATGTTGACTGTTTAAACCTATAAGATGCAATTTATTCTTTGACTTTATCAGCTGAGCCAATGTTTTCTTTTTTGAATAGACAAATATGAGTCACCTTTCTCGTGTCTGAGAACCAGAGTTCTGACTAATACAATCTTTATTGATCAGTAGCTTCTTCTCCCCTTGCTCTACTTGTCTGTGTGTTTTTGTCAACATAAGTTCTGACATTTTTATTGTGGCAAAATATATGTAACATAAAATTTACCATGTTAGCTGATTTTAAGCATATAATCTAACAATATTCAGTATGTTCACAATGTTGTAGCACTATCATCACTCTCCATTTAGTTCAACCTTTTTAAAGCAAGCAATATTTCAGCTGAATTTTCTTCTTTATTCTCTGCTTCCTAAGAGGTCTTGTCAATTACAGTAATGCTGGAGCAAAACCATCATAAGAAATTAACTTACAAAAGCAATGCTTATAGGGGCAAAGAAATAATCCATCTACAGGTCACACAGGAGCTATTTCGCCCAGATACATATTGAGTGGACACAGTCTGGTTGTACCCTGAATACCTCTTAGCTTAATGTTCTGTTGTACTAGGGCCCAGTACAATGAAAGTCTTATTAAGTGATGAAACTTGATTGCAACTCAAAGTCAGAGACACAAATGGATGGCTAAACACCGTAGGATTCCCTCCAACAAGTCCAATTGCTCCAAGTCCTTGGTCCTGGGATTTGCAGCATCCTCATCCTTTACTGTCTTTAAAAGAGAATGTTGAGGCCGGCGCCGCAGCTCACTAGGCTAATCCTCCGCCTTGCGGCGCCGGCACACCGGGTTCTAGTCCCGGTCGGGGCGCCGGATTCTGTCCCGGTTGCCCCTCTTCCAGGCCAGCTGTGGCCAGGGAGTGCAGTGGAGGATGGCCCAGGTACTTGGGCCCTGCACCCCATGGGAGACCAGGAGAAGCACCTGGCTCCTGCCATTGGATCAGCGCGGTGCGCCGGCAAAAAAAAAAAAGAATGTGGTGACATGGCCTCTGGGGGCGCGCGTGCTTCCGTGGGTGTGTCTGACCGCAGGCCCCGGAGCAGTTTTAGGAAAGCTGAAAGGGCACCATCTAGGATTCTGTCTGAGCAGAGCAGCAGCTGCCCTCATTTAGAATCCCAACAGTTACTGAGGCGGTCTCTTACTCCCCAGCTTTTGGCTTGCCTCTTTGTTTTTTCTCCTCTGTTGTCTCTCTCCTCCTGTCTCCTGACCAGTGCTGTCTCCCACACCGTTCTCTTTTCTCTCTCTTCCTCTCCTTTGCCTCAGTCCTGCGCTCGGTACCAGAGGCAGCTGCAGGCACCACGTATGTAGGTCTCAAAAGCCCTTTAGAACTCCAAAATGAGTCCATTCTGGTCAGCAGTTGCCTTGATTTCCTAAAGAAACTCGAGATTTGCCCTGTTCTCATGGCTGGATGTGTTGGAGTTTAGAAGTCATGTTATTTATCTGTAAATTTCCTTGTTGATATTGGATTATCACTATTTCAGAAGTTCTGATGTTTCAAGCCCCTGGGGTGTCCTTCAATGGAAGATACAAGAGGAAAAAGAATGTTTCCAGCCAGGAGTTCTTATAAAAGTGAGTATAACTCTTTTTAGCACGGACAACAGGAGAAACTGGTGATCAAAGGCAATTCAAGAAATTCATAATGATTGAAATATCTACCCTGCTGGCTACTCTACAAATTTCTCTTTGGGGCTATCGGACTGAACTCTGGTTTGGTTCATGTGTTGCAGACATTACAGAATACCACACCCTCATAAATGGAGTGAAAGCTTTCTTTGAAGAGATCAATTTCCTGATGTCATTTACCCAGTTGGCCTTAATGCAATAAATTTGAGCTTAGAAAATACAACAGGGTACAGGCGTCCCATCTGGGGCCTTGTTCTTTTTAGAGATAGATTTTAAAGAGAGTTTTCCAGAAGACAAATGTCTGGATGTGACCCCTTGGTAGGATTTGCAAAGATGGTATTTGCAGGAAATTTGACATTCATTGCTTTCCTGTCCAGAGTAATTTTTTTGAGATATTATTCTGCCTACGACATCCTGGAAAGTACATGTGACTCACCAGCCTCCCCCAGCATAGCTTGTAGGATGAGCTGTGGCTATCTAATACTAGATGGGTCAATTACATGTTTGCTTCTAAGAAGTTGGAATTGTTACAGTGAGAGTCTGCATCAGTTAGATGGTTACGTGTCCTTGAACTTAAAGGTCATATATAGTCAGGACTGGAGCTGACTTCAGGGCAAGGTCAGTCCTGCGCTGCAGCTAAAATTATGGCGAATCTGAAGCAGAAAAATGGCACAGCCAAAAGAAATCAGCTATTAGAACCCTGAATGATTAGGGGAACTAATGTTGACTGCTGTAAGAGGCAGACTCCAGGACCTTAACAGACACATTTCAGTGGTTTAACACAATCGAAGTTCATTTCTAGCTTCGTAACTTCCAGCCGGGTGCTCTGGGCTGGTGGGTGGCCTTCCACGTACTCACCAGGGACATAAGGCTCTGTCTTCCTCTAACGGCTTCTAATTGGACTCATATTTTTTAAAATTATTTGATAGATAGTTAGACAGTGAGAGAGACAGAGAGAGAGAAAGGTCTTCCTTCTGTTGGTTCACCCCCCAAATGGTCGCTACAGCTGGAGCTATGCCGATCCAAAACTAGGAGCCAGGTGCCTCCTCTCGGTCTCCCATGGGGTACAGGGCCCAAGCACTTGGGCCATCCTCCACTGCACTCCCGAGCCACAGCAGAGAGCTGGACTGGAAGAGGAGCAACTTGGTCTAGAACCCAGCACCTATATGGGACGCCAGCGCCACAGATGGAGGATTAACCAAGTGAGCCATGGCGCCAGCCCCTGGACTCTATTTTTATACCACTTAGTACGGTAGGGTAAATATAGTCGGCCCTCCATATCCACGGATTCCACATCCATGGATTCAACCATTCGTGGACCAAAAATATGACAAAAAAAAAAAAAGCTATTACTAAACTAATGTTTAGTGTGTTTAGAAAACATACTAAATAAGTATATTAAGTCATTATTCTCTAAACAATTCTGTGTAACGATTTATGTATCAATTATGTTGTTTTTGTGATTATAAGTAATGCAGGTGACTTAGAGTAATACTAGAGGATTTGTGTGGATTATATGCAAATATTACGCCATTTTATGTAAGGAACTTGAGTAGCTGCCAGATTTTGGTATCCACAAGGAGGTCCTGGAGCCAGTGCCCTGCACAGATAGCGTTCATATCATAAAGAGACTCTTCACTTTCAGAAGGATTGTCTCCCAAGACTCAGTAACTAGGAAGGACTGTAGTAGCACTTAAAATGTGGACCTTGGGACCAGTGCTGCGCCATAGTGGGTAAAGCCGTCGCCTGTAGTGCCAGCATCCCATATGGGCGCCGGTTTGAGTCCCGGCTGGTCCACTTCTGATCCAGCTCTCTGCTGTAGCCTGAGAAAGCAGTAGAAGATGGCCCAAGTCCTTGGGCCCCTGCACCCATGTGGGAGACCTGGAAGAGGCTCCTGGCTCCTGGCTTCAGATGGGCGCAGCTCCGGCTGTTGCTGCCATCTGGAGAGTGAACCAGCAGATGGAAGACCTCTTTCTGTCTACCTCTCCTTCCCTCTCTTTGTAACTCTTTCAAGTAAGTAAATGAATCTAAAAAAAAAAAATGTAGACCTAAAAAATGCATAGTCCTAAGTCAATTTACATGTCTCTTTTTTTAGTGTAAAGACTTCATCCATCAGAACCCTATCCAAGAGGACCCTTGGCAAAATTCCTTTTTATGGTCCTGGAGCAGAGTGACACCTGTCATACATTTAATGGATTTCCCCCCTTCTCCCTTAAAAAAAAGAGAATAGAAACATGAAACTCTTAGAACTAATTTTATCAACACTGTCTTTTTTTTTTTTTTTTTAAAGTCTCATTTATTTATTTGAAAGGCAGAGTTAGAGAGAAAGTCAGATACAGTTCTTCCATCAGCGTTTCACTCTGCAGATGACTGCATTGGCTGGGCCTGGGCCAGGTGGAAGCCAAGAGCCAGGAGCCAGGAGCTTCTTCCGGGTCTCCCACACGAATGCCAGAGGCCCAGGCACATTAGCAGGGAGGTGGATCAGGGACTTGAACTGCAGCTCCTATGAGATGCTGGCCCTGCAGGCTGCAGCTTAGGCCTCTGCTCCCCAGTGCTGGCCCCTCAGATTTGTCTTACCAAGATTCATCTGCAATTTTCTCAGAAAAAAGTTCATATTTTTTTAAAAATAAATTTAATTTATTTTATGTATTTGAAAGCCGAAGTTACAGAGAGGGAGAGAGAATCTTCCATCTGCAGGTTCACTACAATGGCCATGGCTAGGCCAGGCTCAATTCAGGAGTCAGAAGCTTCTTCCAGGTCTCCTGTGTGGGCGCAGGGACTCAAGCACTTGGGCTGTTCTCTGACACTTTCCCAGGTGCATTAGCAGGGAGATGGATTGGGAGCAGAGCGGCCGGGACTTGAACTGGTGCTCATGTGGGATGCTGGTGCTACTGGCAGTGACTTAACATGCTGACTTAACAGTGCCTGCCCCAAAAGTTCACATTCTCACCACAAATGGGGCGTATAAAGCTCACAATGTTCCAAGAGACATAATTGTGTAAATACGAGCACTGATAGTTTTACTAACATCAACATAAATGTACTAATATTAAATATTGTCCTAATATCTGAATAAATGCTGATAATAGCAGGAAGGGACAGAGAGGGGCCTACCTATTGAAATGAACCCTATTTAACTGAGGGAGCAGGACCACGATTAGAGGTTCCCTCAATCCCAATCTTTCTGTAACAGAAGAGTTCTGTTAAAAAAAAAAAAAAAAAAAAAAAACAACAACAACAACAACCAAAAAACAAAAAACCTGCTTTACTCCCTGCAGAAGGGGAACTTGTTGCAGATAAGAACTATGCGTCAGGGCAGGCGCTGGCAGGGCGGTTAAGTGTCCCCTCGGGATGGCCACATCCCATGTTGAAGTCTGTGAGTTTGAGTCTCAGCTCTGCTTCCCATACAGCTTCCTGCTGGTCAACATCTTGGAAGGCAACCAGTGGTGGCTCAAGAGCTGTGGTCCTGGCCACCCATGGGGGAGACCCAGATGGAGTTCCAGGCTCCTGATCTCATCCTGGCCAGCCCCCCGCTGCTGTGGCCATTTGCAGTTGAACCAGCAAATGGAGATCTCTCTGTCTCTCTGCTTTTCAAGTGGATACAATCAATAGTATAGCACTTAAAAAAGAACTACGTGTCTTTTAGATTATCATGTAGACAGGGTTTCATCTTACTAAACATATGAAAAGGTAAGGACTCCCTTAGGCAAAAGTCTAAAACAGTGCTGTAAACACCTGAATGTAGTTTACTGTTGTTTTGGTTAGAGAATAAATAGGTACTACGCATCCCTTTTACTTACCTTGAAGCCAGGAGCCTGGAACTCCATCCGGGCCTCCCATGTGGTGGTGGAGGCCCAGGCACCTGGAACATCTTCACTGCTCTTCCAGGAGCATTAGCTGGCAAGCGAATCGGAAGCCGAGCAGCCGGGACTCAAACCAATGCTTATATGGGATGACGGCGTTGCAGGCTGCTTAACCTGTTGCACCACAATGCTGGCTCTCAATTTTTTTCCTTATTATTTATTTAAAAGAACAAAAATTGGGCCTAGTCTAAAAAAATGGAGTCATCTCTGATTTTAGCAAGTGCTCAGAATAGGTGCCAAGCGATCTTCTTTCATTTGTCTTTAATGAAGCATTGCTTCTCTTCAGGAAGTTGAAGAATGGTGATTTCCAAGATTGTGTTGTCCACTTACAAGTACCCAGGTGATTTCTCTCTCAGAGTCCTCTTTGACTAAATGCCCATGTTTTATATATCATTCTTTTAAAAATAATAAATTATTCAACATTATTATTATTTTCATGCAGCAAATACTTATGTGCTAGGTGTCAGGGGTACAGTAGAGAAAACCAACAAACTTACCCTCAAAACAAGATGAAAACACTGCAAATGAATAGTTTCCAAATTAGAGACTTGTTGGGATTTTGCTTTTGGGGAAAAGATCCAGAGAAATGAGAAAGAAAGACCTATGGTGAATATTCCCAGTCACCTCTACTTTACACCCTTTTTTTTTTATTTTTGACAGGCAAAGTGGACAGTGAGAGAGAGAGACAGAGAGAAAGGTCTTCCTTTTCCGTTGGTTCACCCCCCAATGGCCGCTGCGGCTGGCACACCGTGCTGATCCGAAGGCAGGAGCCAGGTACTTCTCCTGGTCTCCCATGGGGTGCAGGGCCCAAGCACTTGGGCCATCCTCCACTGCCTTCCCAGGCCGCAGCAGAGAGCTGGCCTGGAAGAGGGGCAACCGGGACAGAATCCGGCACCCCGACTGGGACTAGAACCTGTGGTGCCGGCACTGCAGGTGGAGGATTAGCCTAGTGAGCCGCAGCGCCGGACTACTTTATACCCTTTACCAGACAGAAAGTCCCAGGATCTGGAAGCTGATGTTTGGGGAGAAAATCACCATCTAGAGTGGCCCCTACTCTCCCACTCCTATGTGGAGCATTGTTTATAAGATACAACACAGACAGTATGGCATTCTTTATTTTAAATTTTTATTTATCTATTGGAGAAGCAGAGAAAGAGACAGGCAGACAGATGGACAGCCAGCCAGAGGGGCCATCCTCTGGTTCACTCCCTAAATGCCTGTAACGGCTGGGGATGGGCAGGCTGAAAGTAGGTGGGACGTCAATCCTGGTCTCTCAAGTGGGTGTCAGGGACCCAGTTATTTAAGCCACCACGACTGCCCTCCACGGTCTACGTCAGCAGGACACTGCAGTCGGGAGCCAAAGCTGGGAATCGAAGCCAGGCACTCTCCTGGGCGGGGGTGGGGGGGTGGGGGGGGGGTCTTAAGCTCTAGACTCAACACCTGCCTCAAGGGTGGCATTCTCTACATTTAAAGAGAAATGGAAGATCCGGCTTGGGTTTTCTGTAAGAAATCCATAGAACATACAAATCAAAGAGCAAAACAACTTTATCTTCATAGGAAAAATGGATTTTGTTTGACATTATCCCTCTAAGGTAGAAATGGGCAAGAATTCAAGGTTGAAAAAAAGTGTTTTTTTAACTGAACGAATTTTCTTCACTCCAACCACTTTCTACTGTTTATTGATGAGAGAGAGAGACAGAGACAGAGACAGAGAGACGAGAGGAAGTGCCCAGCCTTCGCAGTGGCCTGTTTCCACTGTTACCTGATCAGCAGGCTCATCATGCCCAGAAGAGGGAGGCCTGCCCTGAAAGTCAGGAGCCAGCCCTTGCTGGTTAAGTGACTTCATGCTGGTAGCAATTTTCACAAAGAGCAAAAACACTAGCTAGAAGGGAAGAACAGTTTCATTCCATTGTTTATTCCTCCACCATGCCCCCAAATAATCTGTTAAAAAGTACTGGGGAGAAAATATTTGACAGAAAATTAGTGCTTTGTTTTTATTTTATTTTTTGAAATATTATTTATTTGACAGACAGAGTTATACACACGCACACACACACACACACACACAGAGGGAGAGAGAGAGAGAGCGGATTTTCCATCCGCTGGTCTATTTTCCAAATGACTGTAACAGCTGGTGGCTGGGCCACACTACAGTCAGGAACCAGCAACTCTATTGGCTCTCCCATGTGAGTAGCAGTAGCCCTTGGGCCATCTTCTGCTGCCCTCCCAGGTACATTAGCAGGGAGCAAGAATGGAAGTGGAGCAACAGGGACAAAAACTGGCACCCATATGGAATGTAGGTGTTGCAGGCAGCGGCTTAACCCTGGAGATGCCACAATGCCAGCCGTTATTTTATTTGATTGTATATTTATTGATTGTGTATATAATTGACTACAATGAACAATATATTTGTTTGCATTGGTGAAGATCATTAAAGGTTTACCAACAACAGACACTGCTAGTTCAGTGACGACATAGGCAATGGTGGTTGTGGTGATGCTGATGGAGGCTGTTACGGTGTGTTGTCTGTGCACCAGACAAATCGGAAACTTATTCTATACATCACTTAATCTCTCCACAAGAGCACACAGGACGAGGCACTATTATTGTCCTTGTTGTACAATAAAATGCTGGGATAAGTTCTTTGTCCAAGATCAAGTTTACACAGCTGGTATGCAGGCAGAGACAGAATGGGAATCCAGTTTGGTGAGCTTCAAAGTCACATGTAAAATATGCCATATAAGAGCTCATCTTTGTTAAAACTTGAATTTGCAAATGCCTAGGAAAATGTGTTGATATCAAAAATATAATAGTGGTACCTCTAAAATGTGTTAGATTGAAACGATCCTTTCCCCCTGAACAGTTGCCTTCAGAAAACACTTAGAGCACTACTTTTTTTTGGTGTTGTTGTTAAAGATGTATTTATTTGAAAGGCAGAGTTACACAGGGGCCGAGGCAGAGAGAGAGAGGTCTTCCATTTCTGGTTCACTCCCCAGATAGCCGCAATGATTGGAGCTGCGCCATGAGCTTCCTCCGGGTCTCCCACGTGAGTACAGGGGCCCAAGAACTTGGGCTATCTTCTACTGCTCTCCCGGGCCATTGCAGAGCACTGGATCAGAAGAGGAGCAGACGGGACTTGAACTGGTGTACATATGGGATGCCAGCACTGCAGCCGGCAGCTTTACCCACTACACTACAGCGCCAGACTCTATAGCATTACTTTGACCATCACTATTTTATACCACTTACTCTTCTCATGTTGAAGCAATTTCCAGAGGACAATTTCTGTGTCTGAAAGTTCTTAAAAATTGGGAGGATCCGTCTATTTACACTAATAATACTTTTGGGGTGGTATTCATGGTGTAGCTAGCCATGGAAACACAAAGAGAAAGAGTATATTTGGAAGAGAGCAAGAAATCATGTGTCATAAACTTGGGCAAGCTGTGGGAGTTTCACATATGTATGCTTGGAGAAATATAGTAACAGATTCTTGGGTTACCTGATATATGAAGAAAAAGAAGATAATATGTGAGAAGCGTTTAGAATGCCAAATATACAGATACTATGCTGGTTTGTTTGTTTGTTTGTTTGGACAGGCAGAGTGGACAGTGAGAGAGAGACAGAGAGAAAGGTCTTCCTTTTGCTGTTGGTTCACCCTCCAATGGCCGCCATATCACCCTGATCCTATGGCAGGAGGCAGGTGCTTTTCCTGGTCTCCCATGTGGGTGCAGGGCCCAAGGACTTGGGCCATCCTTCATTGCACTCCCGGACCATAGCATAGAGCTGGCCTGGAAGAGGGGCAACCGGGACAGAATCCGGCACCCCGACCGGCACCGCAAAGCGGAGGATTAGCCTATCGAGCCACGGCACCGACCTCTATGCTGTTGTTTTTCACGTACATGCCATATGAAACTGCATTATATCTTTAGATTCCTTATCTCTCTCTATCTTTCTCTCTCTCCCCCCACCCCCAAAGGGATTTACCTTCAAGACAACTGGGGAGGCTGGCGCTGTGGTGCAGCGGGTTCTGGAGCCCTGGCCTGAAGCACCGGCATCCCATATGGGCGCCAGTTCTAGTCCCGGCTGCTCCTCTTCCAATCCAGCTCTTTGCTATGGCCTGGGAAAACAGTAGA